GTAATTCCCTCAATATAATAGTTTGTAATTGGTTTGCAAAGTTTAGTATGCACTCTGGGATCTTTCCAAGGAGGGATACAAACAAGTATCCATCACTTATTCTACAGTATGTCATCTCTGGACCTCTTCTTAGCAGGTTTAGAAATTCCACAGCTGTGATTAAACATTATCATGCCACAGTGTATTGAAGCAATGTCATGATGTAAGGGCAAGAATTTTCATCAGTCAGTAGGGAAGTAGGGAAGTGAACAAAGATTCAAACTATTCACTGTAGACATGTAAAAAAAAGAGAAATGTGTAAAAAATAGCACTCACTCATGTGACAGTATCTGTGGAGAATGTGGAGTGGGAAAGATTTGTTGGTGCAGATTTTTACAAGCGCAGCATGCAGGCTCCTATTCACTGCTGGTGAAAATGCACAACTAGTGGTGGTGATTATGTTGAAAAACAGTGTTTTGTAGCCAAGACTTTGCTCTGTCAAAAGTGTTATTGTGCTGTTCATATCAGTTGTAGTCTCCGTGGAAATAAATAGGGGGCATTCGTTTCAGAGCGACCTATGCACAATTAGAGAGGTACATGTAATTGGGAAACCTGCCATTTGGAAAAAAAGAAATACCTAATGAGTAGAAATGTGAAAGATCCAAGTATTCTTCACATGAACAGTTCTTTACTCAAAGTTCTTTACTCGATATTCAAGGAAGCAGTAAAAATGTTATAGTACCTGTATCATCAAAGATGTTACTGCTTTGTGACTTTTGACTATGTTGCTTTGGGCACATCAAGGAAAATAAGCTTTCATGATTGACCAGGGAATAATTTAACAGAAACAAAGAAGAAACAAAAGCAGGTCTATAACTAAACCTCACAACTGTGAAATGACAAGCTTTAACAATTACAAGAGTAATTGATTGAAATAAACCATGGATGGAATTTCAGCATGTGAATGTGAAAGGGTCTGAATTGCTTCAAGTCAAAAGGGCTGAAAATATTTGATGGTGGTTAAAGGGGGAAGCACGGGAATGAATGCAAGCAGGAGAATGCTTCTGATTATGAAAGATATTTCTAGATATAACACAAAGTGTCAAAAAGTAAGAGGAAAAAGATTGATCAGTAAGAAAGCTATGCCTCAGAAGCAAGAAAATACAATGTAAAGTGAGAATTGTTAAAATCATTTGAACCATTCTCAATGAAGATGATAAAATACAAAGCAAAAGGTTTTGTACACGTGGTGAGACTCCACAAGAAGGAAAGAAGCAGGACCTCTGTACCACTAAGCTGGCTTAGTGATTAAAAACAGACAGATGATGATTTTGGCCACGATGGTAACAGCAGTACATCTTACGTTACTGCAGTGTCTGTCTCCATTTCTAAAATACAAAAATGAAACATAGTGAATTTACTTAGACTCCCATGAAGCTTTTGATGTGGTGTTATGTGGAAAAGTATATACTAAGCTGGGGATGATGGCATTGGCAAAGGAAACATGAGGTGAACAAGGATCTGAATACAGATGATACAGCCATACATCATATTGAAAAGGAATAGTATCAAGTTAAAAGTAAGTCTCTAATGCTGACTTCCTCAAAGATTGTTCTTGGGGCTGAAATTACTTGATGTCATTGCCACCACTCTGATGACAATATGTAGTCTAGAGACCAGGACATGAACAACAGACTCTCGAAGTGGACTAATAAAACAATAAAACCCTATAGAATTTTCACTTCATAATCAGTTATCTGGAAACTGTTGAGGAAAAGCTTAGAAAAACAGATGAGCACAAAATGTAAAAACAAAAACACTTTTGCAAGGAAAATGCAAATATGATACTGAGGTATCCCAGAAGAGACGAAGTAGCCACTGTGCTTCATCAAGCACCACTAAGGGATTACCATTAGTGGAATATTTTGTACAAGTAACATTCAGGGTTAAGTCAGACTTGAATCCTTACACATAGTATGAAAATATGGTAAGGGAAATTAAGAGAAGAGGAAACTTCTTATTTAGTCAAGCAGAACAAAGGCTGATGAGAGCCTTCCTTTGTCTACAAATCTATCAAACAAAAGCTGTGAACTGTTTAAGCTGATACAGCTGCCAGAAGAATAAGTGAGTATAAAGCCTGTCACCACCACCTTAACACCGGGAATTACAAGGTTACCGTTAGAGCACAGAAGTGTTTAGAATGAAGTGCCTTTCATTAGGAAGACTGTAAGAAACCTAGCTCCTTTTATGAACATATTTGTTCACTTTAAGAAAGATACTGAAAAATGTAGTTGCCTGCTGGATTCTATCGATAGAGAGATTTCTTCCAGCCTGCTCTTAACAGCACTGGCCTTGCAGTTTTCTTGCTGGCTCTGCTTCTTCACATGCATAGAAACAGGGACACTCACAGGTCCAGCACAGTCCTACATCTCATCCGGGACACGGAAGGCCAGAAGCCATGGAATGGTTGAGAATGTTATGACTGAGACCACTGAGGGCTGACAGGCAGCTAGGAAGGTATGGGTTAAGCATTGCTGTGCATGAGAGAGAACCGCCACCCAATTCCAAATGGGACAGGGCCACACAGCTCAGTTAGGGTAAACAAATGGTTATGATCCTTGTCAAGAACCATTTTTCATCTCCGTAAAGCTCAGTTTAATAGCATGGCACAGGCACCATTGAAAACGAGAATATTAACTTTCCAACAATTTCCCCAAATTGAAATAGAATCTGTTTTGGCAAAAACAGTACAGCTGTCTACCAAGAAAAACATTTTAGGTAGTTATATAAGCAATAAAAATAAATGTTTTATAAAATTCACCCAGAAGGACTTATAAGTATTAAAACAAACAATAATAATTAACCAGATTTCATGAACTATTGAACAGCCAAAACCAACAACTTGTACAGCTGAAGATGGTGAAGTCATTTCTTCTACTGCAGTCCAAAGCCTGACCACCTGTGGAGATTTTAAAAATATATCCCAAGAATTAATTTTCCTAATATGGACAGAAAGGAAAACTCTCTCTCTCTTAACACGATTTCGTTTTAACAAAGTAATGGAATTTCATGCAAACTTAACATGTTTTATAAGTACTTGTTTCTCTGGTACAGGAGGAAATTGCTAGGAAGATGGGTAAAATGAAGAAGTATCCAATGAATGCCTTTTTGCATTAAAAACCCCAGGGCCATCTCCAGTCAGGCTCCACTCACTACTGCTCCTTGAAGCAGCCTCTCTTTCTCAATTGACAAAGAAAATATAGGAAGAGTTTGTAACAGAATTATCACATTTATCAACTGTAACAATTTTTCTAGGCATCAGTCAAGGAACTTCCAGAAAAGGAAACTTTTAGTACCTTCTCACAGACTGAGATCTCATTTACACTCTATGCAGACAACATGTTGAAAGACTGAGTAATTTACCACTGTGAATTCAGGACAGAGCAGGGTTAGGAGGTAAATTAAAAGGAAAAAACTTTTAATTTTGTTGGCAAAATAAAGGTTGAGATCGGTTATGACAATACTTCTAAATATACTTGATGGAACAAATTAAGGGAAAACAATGTTTTCAATTAAAAGGTAATATTTGCATAAGATTGAGTCCAGCAATAAATTTGCTCTGGAAATTGAAATTATCCAATATCTAGAACTGTTTTACATGCTACACGATGGCATAAGGAACCTAAACTCTTGTAAGACAGAGCTTGATGGTTTCATTTCTGCGATGGGACAAGAATCCCATCACAGATTGAGTCATAAACTCCTCTTTGGATCTGTGGTTATTGATTTCTGGACATCTGCTTGCTTTGACTTAGCTCAAAAGTGTGGGGTAAAAGAGTTTATCAGCTGATCATACTGGCCTGCGTGTATTTCTGGTATATTAACTATGTCATCTAATTTCTGTTGATTACTTGAAAAAGCATTGGTTTTGTGAGTAAAGTAGGGAGCTGGTTTTACTGGAAATGTTGAAGGTGGGTCACAGAAAAAGGCAGATATAAGGCAGGCAGCACTAATACTGAAATAATAGCCAAGTCTTCCAGATACCTCACTGGCAGGTGTTAAACCATTGGAAGATACACATCTCAATCCTTAAAGGTCCTTAATTCATCACAGATTAATCCTCCAGATTGCACTGTTTTGCTAATTTTCCAAGAATCAGTGCATTTTGAGATGATTATAAAAATGCTGTAAGATTCTAGCCCCTTTGTTAGCTCCTCACATCTCCTTCATCTAGGTACCTGCTCCACTTTCAGAACAAGAGGGTTTGGCACACAAACAAAGGGACACATTTCATGGTGACCAGAACACAGACCCTCCTTCCTCTATTTGCTATCAAAAGCAAATTGCTCTTTTCCTGATCTCTGCCCTGAAGCTGCCCTCTATTCCCAGTTTTGTAGGGCCTCATTTCTGCTTGAAATTGAGCGTTCATACAGCTGGACGTGAGGCTGCTGTCAAGAATCATGGGCAGATCCATAGAGACATACTCATGCAAACACTGAGTGGCAATGTTAATCCTTCTGCTGTGATCTCCACTGTGAACTAACACCCACGTTCTTCACCAGTGCCTCTCTAGCTTGGCTTCCTGCTAACTGTGGTGCAGAGCTATTTCTCTAGAAGAGCTTTGAGAAGCTAGAAACTTTCAAGGCTAGGCTGGATCAGACCCTGGGCAGTGGTGTCCCTGCTCATTGCAGGAAAGCTGGACTAGGTGGCCTACAGAGGCACCTTCGAACTCTATGATTCTAAGCTGGTGCAAGTCCCTGACTCGTGAAGATTCTGAAAGCGGATCAGGATGGTGAAACCAGTCAGTCTCACTGATCACTGCTCTACGGAGCCTGCGGGCACCCCAATACCCCTCGCCCGCTGCTTCAGCAGCGCTACCGACCAAGTGAAGTTCGATAGAGCTGACCTGGGAGCGGGGCGAAACCTACGCTCTCCCATTGGTGGCGCAGGCCTTGGCCCCGCCTCCCTTCCCTTCCGCTGATGGCCGGGACGTAGGGGGCGAGTGTGCGCATGCGCGACCGCCCGAGCGCCGATGGCGGCGCCCTCCGTCCCCACGCCGCGATACGAGCATATGGGGGCGCGCGGCCCCTACCGGGACGTGTACGAACCGGCCGAGGACACCTTCCTGCTGCTGGACGCTCTGGAGCGGGATGCAGCCCAGCTCCGGGAGGCGGGGTACACGCGGCAGGCAGCCGTGGGGAAAGCGGGGCGGGGCACGTGTCGTAACACTGCCCTGAGTGATTCTGTGGCTGCTGGCGGGGCTCGGATACGTCACCAAAAAAACTCACCCGGACTTCTATGTCTTTAGGATCGACGTCTGCCTTGAAATAGGGTCTGGGTCTGGCGTGGTTTCAACATTCCTAGCTTCCATCATTGGAGCCAGTGCGCTCTATCTGTGAGTATAACAGCGAGGCTGCTGTATGAAGGCTACCTAGACCTCGCCGTGTTTGCGTCTCGCTTTAAAGATTCCCCATTCCGTAGAGAAATAGCACGTCAGTTCTACAGAGACGATAGTCAGACTGAAGGGAGCCTTGTCTGCTTACCTTAAATTGTGTACCTATTAGGCAGAAATATGGCTTGAATTCAGTTTTCCCACTCCTTAGATGGTGATGACACATTAGGTTGTTGGTGGTTAACTGAGATTTACTAGGGAGTGTATGCATATATGTTTACGTACAGAGCTGGCATTGAAAGTATAATTATTTGAAATGCTTATTTTCACATATTTCAGCTTTCAAACAGTCATTAAGAACTCACAGAATTGAATTGGAAGGGACCTTTAAAGGTTATCTGGTTCAACTTCCCAAATCCAGCTTCCAGTATAGAACTGAGTGTTGTAGCTGCTGATACACTGCGTATGTTTTCCTAGCTATTTGTCACTATTTCTTATAAAGTAAAGGCTATTCTTGAGATTGCCTTAGTCAACATGCAGTTTGCAGCATTAATCTTGCAGATACAGGAACCAGTAACTTACAGTGTTTTGCTTTAAGATGTACAGATATCAACCCTATGGCAGCTTACTGTACACTGGAGACAGCTCAGCTGAACAATGTTCACCTTCAGCCAGTCATTACTGACTTGGTAAGATAGCTTCAATATCAACTTCTTGATAGTTATTGTAATTTTCTTTACAGTTTATAACCACGAATTCCAGAAGAACACTCTCTTGATAAGCACAGAGTAAAAAAAAAAAATGATGAAAATACTAGACTGCAAAAATAAAATATTACCTTTGTATCTGTATGTGTATCTCTTGCTGTTCTACATTTCACTGTAACATTGTCTTAAGAATACTGTTCTGCTTCTCTTGCACATGGAAAGTTTGGTGTTCCTGAGTCAGCCAAAGTTGACAGCATGCTACACTCAGAAGAAAGCAAAGTAGATAAGGATTTACATGTACTAACCCAGTTTTACTGGCCTCACACAGGACAGAAGGACAAGTAGCTTGTTTTCTAGAACAGTGATAGAGGTGGTATTACACAGGTTTGGCAAACATCAAATTTAGTTTATCATCTCTTAGAAAACAACCTGTAACTATTCGGAAATGCAGCAAACTTGTTAAATACTTCCTGGTTATTCTTAGGTCACCTGTGGGTCTGAATTCTCATTGATTAACACATTTGCACCTTAATAGCACACCCTCTGCTATTTATTAATTTATTTCAATTTTGTCTGTGTGGCAGTTTAAATTGATAGGAAAATAGCCAGCACTATGTAACTGTATGCTTACAAAATGGAAATAAGTAATAGTAAAAATAAATAAAATAATACTAACAAAGGAATTGATAATTTCATCTCTAGGTCAAAGGACTGTCACCAAGATTAAATGGGATGGTTGATCTACTGCTCTTTAATCCACCATATGTGGTAACACCCTCTGAAGAGGTAGGAAAAAATAGATGCAAAATCCGCAATAAATGTGCTTTTTTTTTTTGCTGTCAGGAGAGTTGGCAAATCAAATCAGCTGAGGTATGAGACTGTAATTGTTCAATTACCTCTGACATCTTTGTTATTCTGTATTGAGGAAGATGGTTTTTGTTTTCCTTCTTCCTAGGTGCAAAGCCACGGAATAGAAGCATCCTGGGCTGGTGGCAAAAAGGGCAGAGAAGTAATGGACAGAGTTTTTCCATTAGTAGCAGACTTGCTTTCAACAGGAGGATTATTCTACTTGGTCACAATTAAAGAAAATAACCCAGGTGATCAGTTTCTTTGGACCCCTTTGTTCCAAACCATATTTAACACCATTAATCAAATTGTTGATTACGACAATGCTCTGGAGGCTATCAGAACTCGGTAAACAAGAACAAAGTAGTACAGAAGTCTAATCTATTTTAGAACTAGCACATTATTTTGACAGTGTGGACTACAATTCAGATAGGTATGGGAGGCCATTTGTTAGAAATGCAGTGGTGTATTTGCATGCCACGTACAAAGCATGTCATTTACGTGGATTCGTGTTTCCACACATTTGTGTGGGTGACTAAACAGCAGAGTGACTTTTATATAACCTGATGCCTCTTACTGTCCATCTTCTGACTTTGTGGCTTGCACATTCAGCATATGGTGAACTAAACCAGAACATGTTTTACCAACACTAAGAACTCTCTAAGCTACTTCAGAAAACAGTAGTATGAAGAAACTGTAGCATGCATGTCCCAAGCCCAGCAGCTCTAAGACTGCAATTCCAAGTCTGAAATCTTCTGAACTAGGTAATGAATCCAGGCCAACCCCTTCTTACAAAAGAGACTGGTGTTGTAAACTCAAAGGCAAAATCTGACGGTTGGAAATAAGATGTTTTTATTTCTGAATCATTTCTCTACACAGGTCAGAGTTGCTCCTTCTGACCTAATGTTTAACGGGTTGTACATTATGAAGGGGTTTTGAGAAGAACAATAATTCAGTTTGGAATTACTGATTGTTATAATACCTAATACCAAAATACTGAACTTTGTTCAGCAAAATGTAAACTTTATTTGTTCAGGGTGGAAGACTACTTCGTCTAAAAATTACTGTCTAAAATGACAGCTATAGCTTATGTTTAGCAGCAGTTTAGTATTGTTTATTATAGCTGACTTCTCTACAAACTTACTGTAACGCTGTACTTTTCATTATAGATGAAATTCTGGAAACAATGAAGAAACATGGCTTAGAAGGCACACGACTGCTTTCCAGACAAGCAGGACAAGAGATGCTTACCATCCTCAAATTTAGGAAGCCTGGATAACTGCTTTTGTTATATATACTAGGCATGCCAAAGGTTGGATACAGAGTACTGAAGTTGTCAAATCATTTTCTAAGTCATATTTGGACAAAGTGCATCCTTACTTCCTCATCATTGCAATGAAACTGATCAAGACTGTCCTTATTTTTATTCTGGATGTCAACCAGTTTTTATCTGGTTGTCAGGTACAGCTGTTCTCTGACTAGCTGCAGGAGAGTTGTAAGTGAACTGGAAGATACCATAACGCATCATCTTCTGCACTTTGCTACTTTTACAAGTAGGAGTTTGTGTATTTATTTTTTTGGCTTATTGAAAGAACGGATGTATTTGATGTAACTTGTACTGTTTTAACAGTTAGTCTCTTCCTCTGTTTGGTTTAAATGAAAATTTGAAATCATGTTACTCATTTTGATGTAATACAAGGCACGGCTTTCATAGAAACTGATCTTTAAGGTGCTGTGTTAACAGAAACTTTAAATGATTGGTTAGCTCTTTTCATGGGGACTAAAATCACAATTTTTTGTTCATTTGTTTTGTCAGTTACTGAGGCTTTACAATAATTATTCTATCTGACTATGAGTGTATAACTCGCTACAAATCTAGGTGGGAAAAACTTGAAGGTTTTTCATCTTTTCACACCATGAAAGAAATAAAAGTGTAGGGCCTGGTAGCAGAAACACACCACTACAAACCTAGCTGGACCAACCATCTGGGGATGAAACATTTTATTGCAATGTAATGTGAGAGACTACTTTTTGACTGATACAGGTCAGAAGTTGATGTTTCTCAGGCAGAAAGCTTATTCCTTGTACTTTGCTGAAGAGTATACAGTATTAGAGAGCAGGCAGCACACAGTGGTGATTGTTCTGCATTCCAAGATCACTATTCCCCAACTCAGAAGACTATGGAAAAACAAGCACTGCAATTCAATTCAAGCACAGCTAATGCATTACTTTCAGATAACGTAGGTTTTCTTTTTTGTCAATATGTTTTTATATGTATTAATATGAACGTGAGCACAAAAACTCAGAAGGATAATTTAGACAGAAGACTCAATTATGCAAAGGATATTATCTGATGTTTAAGTACAAGAATCCCTAAATAACAAAGTGAGTCTCACTGACCAAAGTGAGGCTACAGTTATCTTTGATTCTTAACTTCAGAATACCTTGTCTAAGAAATGCCAAAGGTGAGGAATGGAGATGAAACTTTGTGACCACCTGTGAAATAACAATTCCATAGACTCTTTCTAGCGATGAATTTAAGCAATTCATGTTCTTGCAATTTACCTCCTTTAGTGTAAGGAGGGGAGGTTCTCTGCTCATTGATATTGCTTTTATGCAGAGTTATGGTTTTGGTGTTACAGCTGTAGTGCTGTTCATCCTTAAGATTGCTCTGTAGGCTTTCTGTTGTTAATCATTTTGACCAAAGGTTGCTGTGCAAAGATCATGACATCAAAAAACAATTTTATGATGGAGTTAAAATATATAATGGAATCAAACTGCAAGTTTAACAAAGGGAATTTTTAAATTCATCTGACTCTGAGCTGTAATTAAAGAATTAGCTTAAAAACAGGTACTCAAAGGAGAAAAAAAATGCAGTTAGCCCTCGAGCACGTGGCTTTAATACAAGTTAAAAATGACAATAATGAATCAGAGTACAACATGTAATAAAACATAACATGCTTTCAACAAAAACAGATGACAATGGACTATCTGGCAGCTGCATTTCTAAACAAGGAGATAGATGTGTCCACTTTAATAAATAATGAATCAGTTCTCCTGGCCAGGGTGTACTGATGTCAGCTGCAATTTTTGTGGAAGAATTTTTCAAAATGCAGTCCAAGGAAGAACATGGGTAAGTTTTTTTTTAAGACCTTTTTTTTTTTAATGCTACTATCATCATCCTGCTGTAGACTGGAAACTAGTGACAGGCAAAAACTATTTTTTCCTCTGAACTTTGAAGTTTGCTGCATCTACAGAGATGACTGCAGAGACACTTAGCATTTGCCAGGGTACACTATTGCCTTCTAGGAGACTAGAGAATTCAATACCATTTCTGAAAAGTTTGGAAGGAGCACCCCTGCATTCGCTGCATGAGAATAAGCTGCATGGCAGATGCAGATTATGTATACAGTGCCAGACTTACTAAGAGGAATGCAAGAATTCTGTTCCTCAGTACTCCTAAGCATTGTTCTGTAAGAAACAGAAAGCAGTTATTCAGATACAGACAGTGGCATATCAGACTCGCCAGCACTTGCACTTGGTTCTGTTAGACAAACTAAACAATTAAACCAATTAGACTCATAGACAATTTGCAAGTTCGAGCCTGACCGAGTAAATTAACGTGGCTCTTTTCAAGCAATACCTGGTTAACATCAGTTGGCCTTCAAAACAGTTATCAAACCTGCAATTAAGTCAGATAAAATAGTCTTATCTGAAACAGTGATACAATAGACACAATAACCAGAGTTTCAGTAATTAGGAAAATAACACAGCTTACTCCTTTAGCCTGTGTTTCCAGTTAGGATTTTTCAGTACCAATTGTGAACGATTCCCCTTCTCTCTCAAAAAAAATTAAAATTCTCTTCTGAAAGCACAGTGGTATCTGCTAAAGACTTAACGGCTAAAAATTACTTCTAAAGGGACCAGCATTGAGTGAACAGAGCGCCTAAAGCAACCAGCTGTTGAGATACAGTCAATTAAGTATGCCAGAAACTATCTGAAAAATTATACTATTAATTTCTGGAAGTTTAACACAAGGAGGAAGAGAAAGCAATCCAGAAACTACACAGACTAACAACATTCATTCATTCCTCTTCTTTTATTGAGTTTTCCAAGAAATCTGCCATGGAACAACACCATCCAAGTTGGAGTATATTAGTATGCTACTGCTATTAACAAAACAACAATATGAAAAAAGACTACTGGAATGAAGACGATGTTAAATTCTGATACATCTATCATGTTCATTCAGAGCCCTTATTGTTGTGGGACTTTTTGACTGGAATTACATGATAAATTCAGTCATAGTTTATGCCTCAGCTAATGAAGACATTAACTGAAATAATGACCACAGAAGAACTGATTGGTGTGCATGTCTTCTTAAAAGCCAATCTGCCATCAATGGGCAGTGTTTCTCATTGTCATGCAGGAATGACAGTGCCCTCTGTACTACCTTAAACTTCAGGGTTTTCAAGGTTTTTGAGTGCTGGTTGGCTGAGGTTTTTTCAGAAAATAAGACAAAGGTGAAAACTCAATTTATAAATGTTAATTTAGAGCATGCTACGTTTAAATTTCATACTTCAACAGAAAATTATCGCCCTAAGTCCATGCCTCAATGTTTAACTGCATTATTTTTTTTTTTAATTATTATTTTTAATTTTTGTTTTACCTTCCCCATAAGAGGAACTATTGTGAACCCACATATATTATAATCAAAAAATCAAGTCTTTATGCCACCAATGTTAAATTCACCTGTTACATTAATAGGCATGATCTGGCCTTAAGTGCATGCCACCATGACACTGAAAATAAGAGGTTTTAATCAACTATGCTGTGGCTTAAACACCAATTTTCAGACATAACTCTACATCACTTAGGAATTTTTAACATATCTTAATACCTTAAAAATATACAAATCAAAATAAATTATTCTTATATATTTCTTTATATCAAAGACTCTTCAATCTCTTACAAAAAACAGTCCAGAGGTAAATATGTGTCATATCCCAACAGTCAAGAATTCTAAGTAATAGAAATCATTTCCAAGTAGTTTGCTTTGTTCAACACACAGTTTATTGCCTCTTCTTCATGTATTACTTAGCTCACAGAAAGAAGACAGACCGTTTTATTCAGAAAAATGTCTCTCGACAAAGTGGACAGGTGGATTTGTTGCTGGACGTGAACCATTTGTACTGAAAAAGAAATAGGACAGCTTAATAGACAAGTGCAAGCTAAGTACCAAGAGCACTGTTTTGTCACTGGTAATAAGCTTTACTAGTGAATGAAGAAAACTATCAAAACATTCATTTTACTTAACACAAAAAACAGCTAAAAAGCCCTTTCCCCTTACATATATATATCTGTGTGTATATATGCACATTTGAATGTGTGTGCATACACATACACTGCATGTGCAGAAGTTTTATTCTAAAGACAAACAAAAAACAAATACATGCACAAAGTAATTCCTGTCCAGTCTAATTTTAGCCAAAAGTTGTGTTTTCAAAGCAGCAGGAATTCCTCTCTTGTATGGCAATACAGGTGTCAATATGCTCCAGCATACTCAGTAACCATACAAAAATGCCTATGATATCTTGGTTATAGTTTATTATCCAGATTAGCAGGTCAGAAGAGGAGCATGCTGTGTAAATTAATTTTTAACTTTTTCTCCTCCCTTATCCAAGCTGCTAACATCAAGATGTTCTTGCTACACCAAAGCCAGACGTAATGGCTTACATTTTAGCAAACACAAAAACTCTTTGGAGTAGAATTCCTCTCTCAGTGCATCTTACCATAGAATTCCTGCAAATTATTTTGAATTCACTTAATCCCAGATATTCCAGCAATACAATGGGGAATTGATGGCACTGCAGTAGGACTACAGTAGGTAGATTAGATTAGATTAGTAGGTAGACTACTCAACACTTGAGTAGGCCTACTCAAACTATTAAAGGATACTTTACCTATTAAAAGGATTTAGTGTAGGTACTCACCAAGCAAGCTGAATGAAACTTTTTCTTGCATGTTCTGCAAGCTTTTTTGGGCAGAGAATAGTTGGAACCATGAATGACTGAGAAACAGATCATGCAATCTTCGATGCCCTCAAAACGTTTATCCACATTATTTTTCCACAGAGATAGGCCTTCCATAATACTTCCATTCTAACAGAAGAAAAAGTTATTACTATCACAGAATTCCTTCAGAATACTCTTACCGTTATACATAAAGGAAATGAAACCTGAAGACTGTAAAATCAAGTTATTGGCAATGTGTAGTTAAGTAATTTACAACACCAACAAATGAACTATACGTACGAGTTTAATCTTTAGAATTGCAAACAAGCCTCACAAAAAAAAATCCTTTGTTCTAAACTCGGATGATGCAACTTCAGCAATCACCAATCTCAGGTATGTATTTTTTTCAAACTGCAGTTGAGACAGCAATGCCACATGCTGTGACTACTGGCTCATACCTTATGAGATCTTACAATTCTCAATTTTGGCTATGGATTTTTCAGGACTAACTACGCAGATAATTTTACCTCCCTTTTTTGTTTTAACATCTGGAGAAAAGCAGATGTTAAGAGTAACCAATTCTATAAATAAGTTTGTGATCTGAAGAGATGCATTATATAAATCTAAATAGTATATTGCTAGGAACATTGTCGTATGCTTTCAAAACTAGAGGCTTTCTCTAAACTCACCTGATGTGTAAGATACGTGCTTAACTGCAGCATCCAGTTGCGCCATTGCTGAACAGCCACACCAACTCTCTTTCCACTCTCAACTGTTATAGACCCCAGTGGGTAATTTGATGGAAGCTGTATTATTAGTTCAATAAATATATCATCAACTGAATAAGTAGCAATGACTTCCCGTGCAGCAGACCGAGCTTTTACCTATGCAAAAAATGCAAATATTAAAAATCTCTACAATCAGAAACACACATCCTTCTCTAGCCTTTTTAAGATATAAGACCTGTAAGTCCTACAAACATTAAATAATTTTCTTAGGCTAGGAAAACATTTTTCTCAAAAGAGAAAGAATTCACTCATATCTTGGCAATCTAAGAAATTAACAGCCATTTCTCAATCTAGTGGCTAATTATATATATATATTTTTAAATGAACCAAAAAGTAGTATACTGATAGCAAAATCTTTCATTTACCTCTTCTACTTTTCCAACATTCATAAAACCCATTCTTTTTGAACTCATTCAAAACAGAACACTCAGACACTTATATCAATAGCAAGCTAAATTATTTTCTCATCAGCCATGTAGAATATTAAAATGCAATCACGTAAAATACTGTAATAGTTAAGAAACAGTGTTTCTTTCATGTTCTACAAAAAGCAAAATTAAAAAAGGAACAAGAAGTCTTACTAACCGTCATGCCATTAAATAGCTGTGTGCTAGTCTGAACAGAAGATATTTCCTGTGAAGAAAGCACGCTGCTGACATACTTGCTTGTAAATTTATCCACAACATTGAAGACACGTTTCTCACAGCTATTCCACCAAAGCCTAACCATGGCTGGTAAGTCTTTCAGTGTGATATGATACACAGAACAAGCCAAATGCGGGATCTGGGATGACAGGGCTCCCACCCCTGTGAAAGAAAAGAAAGGACATTAAAATACTCTAACATATTATTCACAAATGTTGGTTCTTCTGCACCATGTACAAGACAAACAAACAAAAGAAAAGCAAAACAACCTGATATCAGTGTAAATGTGGAAACTGAAATTGTTTAGTTCTCTATTTCTTACTATAACTGCTTGTTTGAATACAGCTTTCTCCATCTGTCTTGTTTGTTTGTTTTTTGGAGTAACGCTTAATGGTTAGAAAAGCATTTTCTGATTTTAGAGGATGAACAGTAGGTAGAATACTCAAAATCCAAAAATCAAGAATAATTTTACATTCTGGAAATTACAAACTGCTTACTTTGGAGTGATTTTTGAAGTACACTGGAAGTTTGCAGTGCTCTACAGAAGTGTACAAAGAGATGATCCAGTACTTGATCTAGAGTCTGACAACCTGCCTGTGGCAGGGGGATTGGGACTTGATGATGATACTTCAGGTCCCTTCCAACCCAAGTCATGCTACGATTCTGAGATGAAGGAAATCTTTCCCTCAAAAAATGTTGTGTTGTTAATTCCCCAAACTACCCTATTTCTGCTTTTCTGTCATCCAGATAAACGGCTTTGCAACATACAGCGATGTTCAAGCACAAGACTAAGAAATGATCTCTCACTATCATTGTAGGTACATCAATAGATGTATCAACATCTATACAGGTACACTGAAAAAAACTTTCACTGAAGCAACTTTCAAAACCATTTCTCTGTTCCATGTTTTGCAGCTAGAAGTGGTAATTACAATAACCAAGATTCTTCTAAACACAGTGGTAAAAGCAAGACTGAATTTAATGTTTCAAAAATTTTAAATATTAAAAAATATATATTAAAATCCATTCTTGTTTTTACAAATTCAAATAGAGAAAAAAAATCAATTTAGCATAAAAAAAATAGAAACAATGAAGAAATCCCATTATCACATATTTTAATATTTTGGAATATTTGTGTGCATAGAGAAAAAAAATACATCACTGCTAAGTAGCATTTTCCGGTTTTGTTTCAATTCTTTTTCTGTTAAATATTTCAGCTTCCCTTGAGCTTCAAATGGGGAATTTATTGGGAAAAAAAGTAAATATATATTTGTGCTTAGGTACACATGTATATCTATTTTACAGGTACAATTTTCTTTTTTCTTTATTTTTCTTTCTTTATTTATTTATTTTAAAGCCTGAAAGGTATCAAAACCTCTCTCAAATACACAAATTTTTACTAACCTTTGACATCTAACTGAAGCTCTTCGGTAAAGAAGGTTTTTGTATCCTTATTCGGAACTTCTGAAGTCAGCCCAGAAAAGACAGGGTTTTCAGGCATAAGCCTGAACAAGTGATAAAGCAGTTTGTTCAAGCTTTTAGTTCTTCTAAGGTATTGTGAATAGAGAACTCGCAGCTGATGTTTGGACAAAGGAACAAACAACAACAAAAATAAGAAAAACAACAAAAACAAAGTTGAGAATAAAAAGCTTATTCCTTCTACATGGAGGAAAAGTTATTCTGAGATTCAGAGTGAGTATTTAGAAGAGTGATTTAGTTCTCAGTAACCTTTTGAATGACTTGAAGATCATCAAATGTCACAAGCTTGTTTAAAACCAGCAAAAAAAAAAAAAAAAAAACCCATATTAATGAATTTTAAAATTTATTCCTCTAATATTGCCATCCTCAACAGACATCTACTGATGCTTTTGGAATGGAGTCCCAGTAAGTCCAAAGGAAGTAGGACAATATACAACTAAAAGAAAGAGGCCAAATAAAATCTCAATACCCAAATCAAGTAAACATGCTATTAAAAAAATAAATAAATAAATAAAAGAAAAGAAAAGAAACTGAGCATATACCTGAGAAGAAGCTGCTTTGAAGAAAGTTAATGTCAACTTCCAAGTGAGAAGATATCCTAGAACAAGGCAGAACTCATCGCTCAGGGGCTGAATAACTGCAAACTCCCCAACTGGAATGCATTCTAGGATGTTTTCTAGCAAGAGCTCTTGAGTGGCAAGGACAGACATAAGAGCTGCTGGAGGTGATCTATGGAAAAATGTTATCTGGCATAGTGAACTGGAATCTTTAGCAGAGCATTATCTGAATTTATATCCACAACCTTCCCAGCATCCTTTAAATAAAGCAATGTATGCAGAACACAGAAGGGGTCTTTCACTACAGAAAAAACTTATTTTCAGATTCACACACCACTGCTACATCTTAATAGTCCTTTCTCCTGTAAATAATAGTTGGTCTCTCTCCTTCTCAGAAGAAAGACGTAAACTGAA